TTTTTTTTTTTTTGATGCGCCCCTGCGTGCATGTGTGCGGCGGGTGTGTCTTCTAATCCGTAGAGCCGAGCAGGGAGACACCACGCATGCGCCAATACGCGTCATCCTCTGCGACAGGGAGGTTGACGTCAAAGATCCAATGCAGATCTGACCGCGTCGGGTACTTGTACACAGGGCAGCGGTAGTACTCCTGCTTCTTCTGCTTCTCCTTCAACTGCCCTGGCTTCACGGGCGCGTTGTGGTAGGTCGGTGGGGCGTCCTTGTTGTATGCAGAGATGAGCAGCATCGGCAACTCGCGGAAAAGGTCACCGGGCGGGGGGTCCTTGAGCCGCTTGTTCGCCTTGTCCCACATGGCGCTCTCGAGGAAGAGGCCGTAGATGACGACCTCGCCGCGCTCGGTCTTGAGGTCCTCTGCCTTCGGCTCCTGGTTGGGGCGGTACTCGGCGGAGCGCACCTCCGTGCGGGTTTCCACCTTGTCCAGCGCCCACGGGATTGGTTCGTTGGCGTGGCTACGTGTGATCTCCTGCCGCACCGACGTGAGGAAGCCCTGCGGGTTGAAGAAGCCGGGCAACCAGTACACCGGCGGGCGGCCGTTGCGCGCCCAGCTGTCGAGCTGCTCGTAGCGGCGCAGCACCTCCGCGAACCACAGCGAGATGTTCGGCGACGGCCAGCCCACCGCCACCCACGACGGTGGCACACGTGCGGCGTACAAATAGTCCAGCGCGTCCTGCAGTGCCGGTGTGAGGATGATGGTGCCAGCCACCGCCAACTTCAGGTTCGTGCACGTCTGTCGAATCACACGGATGGTGACGCTCAGGCGGTCAATCTCCTGCCCAGCGAAAATGGAAAGCGGCTGCCGGTCACTGAGGTACTGCTTGCGGTCAACCGTCCAGTGCTCTGGCAGCTGCCGCAGGAAGCCGTCCGCCATCCCGAGCACCTTCTCCTCGCGCGTTACGCCGCCCTGCACCACCGCGTCGCGGGGCTGAATATCGAGAATTGTTGTGAGGGCCTCCTGCGCCTGCCGCGTGCGGTACGTGATATCGGCGTTGGAGTGCATCTGGAAGACCTCTGTCGTGTCCACATCAGGATACGTCTCACGAATAAACTCGCGGTGCTTGTTGATGTCGTCAAACGATGGGATGGCATAGCCAGGGGCAAACTCCATTGCATCTCCACCGCTACCACACCCCACAGTGCCATTATTGCTATTGCTGTTCGTGTTGGCCTTGCCATCGGCATTCGGCTTCATGTCACGAACCTTATCAGGGTTGGTGATGCGCAAATCGTAGAGGAACTCCGTAATAGCCTTGAAAAGTGCGCGGTCATTGTTGTCCGTGATACGGCCACCGTACTGAATGTCAGACACCATGTAGCACACTGTATCACGATTCACTGGGTTCTTGAGCGCCTCGCCAATGGTGGTCATGTGGTTGATGAGGAACTGCACCGAGGCGGTCCAGTCACCTTGGTTAAATTCGTACGGCACACTGAAGCCAATAGGTCCAAACTTACGCCGCTCTACCACAACGGAATGGAGGAAGCACTGCGTGAAAAGCATCGGCCGCCACTCGGGGCGACGGAACATCTCCAGGTAGTCCTGTGACATCCACGAGTATGTGCGGACGAGGCCTGCCTTGATGCCCTGCGGGGGCTCGTTGGTCAGCTTGATCGACATCTGCAGCAGCCCAATCGGGAATGAGGTGTGCGGCTCCGACGTCACCCACAGCCGCGCCTCCTCGTGGATCTCCGGCTTCTTTTCACCCGGCAACAGCTGCTGCCGAAGCTTCTCCTCCAGCTGTAGCAGAAACGGCAGGCCAAGGTGGCAGTTCTGCAGCAAAGCCCAGTCACCATTATTCCACGCGCTGCACACAATGTTCATTGCAGCCTCTTCCTGTCCCTGACCCATGGAAATGGGGAATATCTTTTTCTTGAGCGACTTTGCCGCCGCCTCAATAAGAGTCGTTGGGTCAGAGCCCTGCGACAACAAGAACACAATGGGTGTAATTCCGTTTGTCTCTTCCACCACGTCTTGCAGTTCCAGCTGCTGCGGCTCCGCGAATTCCTTGCCGAGTGTGCGTGCCACGTAGATGTTGGCGGCAAGCATGGCACGGTCCTCGCGCAGCGCACGCACAATGAGGAGTCGATCAAAGGTGTCGAGCTTCTCGTTAATGTCAGGCACAGGGATGCTCTCAATAGAGTCGGAGTCGATGTACTGCCGCCACACCTGCTCGTTGCGCATGATGAGGTCGGGTACCTGCTTGAAAGAGCGTGGCACCTGCTCCGAGAGGGCGAGAATGCTCGCCCACATCTTATCCTTCATCCACGCGAAGGGCTTCGAGCGGTCCACCTGCATCGCGCCACCGCCCTTCAGGAAGACGTCAAAGGCCGTGGAATCCAACTGCCCCGCCTTCATCTGTATCTTGCATGCCATCAGCAACACGAAGAGCAGCTTGTGTTTCGAGAAGAGCATGCGGATGATGTACTTGAAGACGGCCATGCTGAGGTACTCGATGATGCACTGGATGCGCCGCGTCGTGACGGGGTGGTGCTCGGAGCGCTGGATCGAGCTGTCAAAGATGCCGTCGAACTGCATCAGCGAGGTCTGGTACATGTGACTCACCAGCGACATCTCCACCACGAGGAAGTACAGCACCGCGCCACGTGTCGCGACGGGGCGGTACTCTTCGCACGCGCCGGCGATACGCTTCTTTGTCTCGAGCGCTGTTGCGAGCTTCTCTGCAATCTCCGCCGATGCGTCTTTTGTCTCCTGGAGGGTTTGAATGAGTGCCACATCGTCGATGAGGTTGCCCTGCGATTCGCTCAGCTGCTTCAGCAGCCTGTCCTCAAGGTTCTTGCGACGCTTTTCGTTGCTGTTGATGTCCTCTGAGAGCTTGGCACTCTCCTCGTTGAGCTCTGCCTTCTCGCGGCCAATAACGTGCGACAACAGCTGCTGCTCCAGGCCCTCCATCGTCACGGTGAAATCAATCACGAGTGCCTTGGCGAACATCTCCGGTGTGAAGCTCGGGTTTGGTAATTTTGTGGTGAGGAAGAAGGTGAACTTGTCGTTGTAGCTCATCTCCTCACCGTTAATGCGGATGAATTGCGTCTTACCGCTGCGCGCCACCTGCTTTTCCAGCACCGGGTCAATCATCGGGTCAATGTCCTCTGGCACATTCTCCACAAGGAGCGGGCGGCCCGTGTCAAGCTGCTCCTGCAGGTTCATGAGGAACGTGCGGTCGTTCATTTGGCACAGCTTGCTCTGCATGCGCTCGGTGCGCTTGCGGATCCAGTTCAGCGCCTGCCCCTGCGGGTCGATCATGAGCGGGAACTTCGCACTCGTTGTGATCATAATGGCGTTCTGCACGGAGTGGTCATCAGCCGGCAGTCCCTCGAGCTGCCAGTCCGCAATGGTCGTCTCGTCGACGAGGAACTTCACGACGTTGATGTCGGACGTCACCGGTATCTTCAGCTCCTTGCACTTGGTGTAGAAGTTCTTGTACAGCAGCTGGTGGCGGAACTCCGAGTTGAATGGGCCGCAGTACGAGATGAAGGCGCAGCTCAGCGCCACGTCGCCAATGAGGCGCTCAATGAGCGACTTGAAGTCGTTGCTCTGCTGCGTCCACCGCTCACGCTCGCCGGAGAGGGCGTCGATGAGGCCGTTGGCGCTGTCCATGCGCTGCTTGGTGCGCGCTGCGTCATCTTCAAGCGCCTGCTTCTTTGCGTTCTCCTCCGCAAACTGCTGGTTGTAGCGGTCGACCTCCGCCGAGACCCGCGCGAGCTCCTCCTCTTGCTCCTCCTTCTTCTTGTTCGCCACGCGCAGCTTGATGGTCGCAATGCGCAGCTTCTCTCGCTTCGGCGCCACGATCTTCGCGATGTTGATGTACTTGTACATGCTCCGCACCCACGTGCAGAGACCGGCAATGTTACCAGACGCCTTGCGCGCCCGCTCCAGTGTGAAGTCCTCCATCCAGAGATACGGCAGCAGCAACTCGCATGTCTCTTCGTTAATGTAGTCCTTCTGGTTCTCGCCGAAGGAGCGCAGCGTGTCGAGGGTGCCCGAGTCGGAGGCAAGCTGGCGGCCGCTGAACTCCCAAGAGTCGGTGATCCACAAACTCCCCTTCACCTCCTCTGCGCCAGGCGGCTGCAGAGGGCGGTGCAGCAGCACCGAGACGGCGTCGAAAATACGCTTAATGAGTGCGGGTGGGTTCGCCAGCTTCTTCAGCGTCGTGAAGTCGTTCGCGGTAATGGAATTGAGGGACTCAATGGCCTCCAGCAGCGCCGGTTCGGCCGCCTCAAGGTCCTTCTTCGCCTCGGCCTCACCCTCCGCCACAATTGCGGCATCACGCGCGACACTCTCCTTCACCACCTCCACCTCTACCCGCTTCTTCTCCGCTTCCGCGGTGCGAATCTCAATCTCCTTCACCAGCGCGTCCGTCTCCTTGCGCTTGTTCTGCAACAGCACTTCCTTCTCTTGCAGCTGCGTTCGCATCACCCGTACATCCTCGCCCGCTTGGTGCAGCTTCTGCAGACCCTTGTTGATCTTGCTCGCGTCCTCGTTGAGCTCGTCAAACTTCTTCTTGTACACATTCGTGTAGGATTCAATGAAGCCGAGGTATGACTTGGGTGTGCTGTAGACAGAGCGGCGGTAGCGTGTGAGGTATTCCTCCGACTTCTCCAGCATCAGTGAGTGAATCTCCGCCATGAGCTCCACCAGCGCCTTCTTGTTCTTCTCCTCCGTCGCCATCTCAAAGGATTTAAGGGTACGCGAAGAAACATCGAGCAGCGCCTGCTTGGGCCACGGGAAGAACCAGTTGATCATACAGGAGGAGACGAGCGCCGGGAACTTGCGCGCGCGTGTGCGGAACTTATCGCCGACGGGCGAGAAGCACAGTACGAAGTGCAGCCGCTCACGCACACGGTTGATGAAATACTTCCACAGCGACTCGTTCATGTCATCGAACTTCACAAACGGGTCCTTCTTCATGACAGGGCGAATGTCGTTGATGGCGGAGTCGCGCTGATCCGAGGCAAAGAGGCCAGCAATTTCACCATTCGACAAGAAGGAATTGATGTACTCTAGGAAGATTTCTTGCTTGATGTCGTTGTCGGTGAAGAGCATCGTGACGGGGCGGCGTGTGGCGGATACAATGTACTGCTCGCGAATCGCATCGAAGAGCTGATTCACACCAAAGCCCTTGGACAGCACCAGCGTGGCGTACTCCTGGCTGTTCACATACGCAGCGAGGCGCGTGAGCGACTGCTTGCCGCTGCCACCAACGCCCACCAGAAGCAGGTTACCGCGCGGCATCGACAGCACACGCGAAATACGGGAAACGTTCTTCACGGCGGCCTCAAACAGCACAAGCTTCAGACGCTTGGCGCGGCTCTGCTCGTCGTGCGCCTTCATGGCACGCAGCAGACGGTCCTGCAGCACGTCCACCGACGCCGCCGGCTCGTAGATGCGTGGGGCCGGCTCCGCGATCTCGCCCGTCTCCGGGTCGTAGATGGGATCGCGCAGGTAGTTCGCCATGTAGATGGGGTCCTGCACCTGGTCAATCACCTCACGGTACGGCGTCGGCGTGAGGTGCTGCGTGACGCACTCCTGCAGGTGCTCGTCGAACCAGCGCTTGTCAGTCACACTGTTGAGTTTGTCGCTGAAGACGCGAGAGCACTCGTGTTTCCACACCCGCACGAGTGTTGTGGCGTCCGTGACGGTCTCCCACGGCTTGCTGGTCGAGCGTTTCTCCGGCCGATCAGGGTCGTAGAACATGCCGGCCATCATGACACCTTGCGTGATGCGTGAGAGGTCGCGCAGGTTGAAGAAGTAGTGGAACTTATCGGGCGTCGGCAACATCCGCTTGGCAATGGCGCGCCAGAAATCGATGGACATCTGCGTCAACAACTTTGCAATGTCTTGCACTCCACGCGAGTAGTTGTCGTTGCAGAAGCGTCCCTCAAAGATGACGCCAAAGATCTGCTGCACAGAGCTCTCCTCCGGCAGCGGCACATTGAACACGGAGAAGTGTCGTTTGAGGCGATTAGGGATGTCGTTCTTACCACCGGACGGGTGAGACATGGCGGCCATGTAGACAAGCCCGCGCAGCTCCTTGCGCCGTCCAGCAAGGCCGAGGTCGTACACCATGTTCGACTCCACCACCTGCCGCACAATCTCGTTGGTGATCTGGTCGCCCCACTCGTTGATCTCTGGCATGTTGATGTCATCAATGAACACCGTCAGTTGGTCGCAGTTCTTGGGGCCAAAGGTAGAACCCATGCGTTTTTCTGTCATGTCATCAAGGGCGTTGTAGAAGTTCTGAGGCGTCGTCATGGATGAGAAATTCAGCTTGCGGAAGTTGGATGTCTCCGACTCTGCCTTGATTTTCAGTAACAGCTTCTCCATTGTAACCGTCTTGGCTGTACCGCTCACACCAATCAGCAGGGTTGGCCGCTTCTGGATGAAGTTGCAGTTCGCCAAGAAGTGCAACCGCACGGAGTCAGCCGTGGGGATGAAGAGCGTCGCGAAGTCCAGCTTGTCATCGCCTGGGTACTTCCACTTCTCGAGGAACAACGACCAGTGCTCCCACTGGCCCGTCTTGCAGTTGAGCGAAAAGTCAAACACGAGCCCGTCAGAGGTGGGCGGCAGGCCGTCGTAGTACTGGCGCACGAACGCGTCAAACTTTGTGCGGTCCTTCGTCTCCAGCATACCGCCAAAGGCCCACGAGAGACTGAACCAGTAGATCTGAAGCGCCAGTGCATCGCTCACCGCGACGCCGTCACCCACCTCTTCACCTAGAGCCACCGCCAGGTGGAACGCGTTGATGACGAGGTGCGCCACCGACGTCTTCATGATAATGGAGCAGTCCTTCTCGTAGAACTCCGCGACCCGCATCGTCAGGCACGCTTCTCCCGCCTCGCCCTCACGCGGGAGGAAGAGACCTAGCAGTTTCTCCACAAGCAATGGGTTGCAGGTCTTGAGGACGTCGGAGGGAAGAATCGTGCCATCCGCACTCGTCGTGGCGCGCAGCCGCGACTCCAGCACCGGCCTCCAACCAAGAATGACGTCGGAGATGAAAATGATACCGGCACGCGACACAGTAGCAGGCGAGGCATTCGCCAAATTCTCCACCTCAAAGCAGCACTTCATGGTGTCCGTCATTTGAATACGGTCACCGTTCGCCAGCGTCAGCAGCTTGTTGTCATCGAGCACGGTATTCAGGTTCTCAATCCAAATTGCGTCGACGGGTCCATCGCAGATAATCCAGATGTTGCGTTTCTTCGCATTTCGTACGGCTGTACGCCAGAGTGACGAGAACACACCATCGTGCCAGTCACCTGAGACGTCAATGCGACCAAACATCTGTGGTGCTGTAATGGCCTTGGGATTCATGCGCAACTGCTGGTGCGGCACTGTGGTGCGGCTCAGCGTCTCTGTCATAACTTCGTAGCACCGTGTCTTACCACACATGGCGGGTCCGACGACCATGATACCGTGGCGCACCAGCTTCGTCTCGTACAACTGCAGCACCTTGCTCACCCACGGTGTCCAGAACTGCAGACCCTTCTCCTGGACAACCTTGGCGAGCTCGCCCTCAATCTCGGGGTGGGAACCCTTCACGAACTGCCGCCCAGGGAACATATCGCGCAGCAGCGAATCAAAGAGGTCAATGTCCTCGAATACCAGCTTAGACAAGTTCATATCACGCAGTGTCCGCATGAACAGATCCTCCTCATCCTTACCAGGGTTGCGGCGCAGCACCGCACCGGCGGTACGCAGCACGGAGAGAATGTTACGGAGACCAAAGTCATAGTGACGCTGTTTCGACAGCTGCTCCTCACATAACTTGTACAGAGTAAAGAACTTTTTGCTGAGCAGGTCATCGAGGCTGTAGCCCTGCGACGCGAGCTTCACCTTCATGATGGTTTGCCTGTCGGGAATCATCATGGTCACACCACGGAAGAGAATCTTAAGGTTCTCCGGCAGTTCCTGACGCCCGGCGTAACCAGGGTTCATTGTGATAAAGAAGCCAACACCCGGCATGAGGTCCGTCACCTGTCCGTCGATGAAGATGAACTTCTCCTTGTGCTGCTTCAGCGCCTGAAGCACGCAGCTCACCTGTTGCGCCACCACGGAAAGTACAGGGAGGTCGATACGGTTGAACTCGTCGAAGCAGCCCCACGCGTTAGCCTGCGAGAGACCACGAATGATCTTCCCCATTGCATGGCGATCCAGCTGATCGGAGCAGTTGAACACGACGCAGAACTTACCGTACGTACGCGCGAGATCCTTCGTCGTCTCAGTCTTGCCTGTACCAGCAGGGCCGGCAGGTGCACCACCCATGTACATCGCCAGCGCCTGTGACAAGGTGATGTAGCAGCGATCCGTCAGCGGCGTAATGACGAGACGTTCCTTAACACCAAGGTACTCGTTGCAGTACTCCGTATCGGAGTCAGCGATAGAGATGATGGTGAGATCACGCTCTGGCTTGTAGTAGAAGCGTGCCTGTTTGAGCCAGTCAAAGTGGGTGATGTCCTTTATGGAGGCCTTTTGCAGATCCATGAACACCTCCTGTTGATGCACCTGAATTGTGATAAGAGTCTCAACGTTGGTGCGCATGCGCTTCGGCCGCCGCTCGAGGTCCGGCGAAGTGGTCATGTTGACAAGATAGTTCTTCATAGAGTCACACTTAGCGCGTGAGGTGGCCGACTCCCTGCCACGTGCTCGCATAATGCCCTTCGTGATGCACTCCGTCACATCCGCAGTCCAGAAGAACTGCAGCATCAGCAGCGACACCTGGGCGGGGTAGCGCTCGATGATAGTGCCGAGGTAGTTGGTGTTGCCGAGCAGCGTGCTGAGCTCCGTCACACTTCCCTTGACCACCTCACGCACCGTGTCGGTCATGCCTGCGCAGAGGCGGTTGAGCCAGTCCTCGACGTTGCCAACGCAGTGCGTCGGCTCGCGCATCATAAGTGACTCGCCTTCGCCGGAAATCATTTCCACAATTTGGAAGTACGGCTGCGCCCCCGCCTCCTTCGGCTTCACGCGCTCGAAGCGCACCGATGAGAGGCCGTCAAAGATGGAGGCCAAGTGCGGCTGAATCGACTGCGGGTCACTCGCCTGCGACAGGATCTCCAGCAGCACCGTGTCGGACACAAAGTAGAAGCGCGGGAACAGGTTTCGCTTCTGCTCAAGGTAGAGCGAAAGCTTGCGCTGGCACTCGTCGAGCTGCTCCTTCAGATTTGGCAGGTTTTGCAGCAGCTCATTCTCGTAGCAAAACTCCAGAACATTGGGGGACTCATTCGCCTTGTTCATAATCTTCTGCCACGCCTTGTCGATCATGGCGAAGCGCTTCGCCTCCTGCGGCAACTGCTTCATGATATCACCACCCGCAAACACCGCCTCAAGATACTGCCACGTGAACTGCACCTCCACCCACAGCGTGATCACCTCGCTGACGCGCACCAGCTTCTGCAGGAAGCTCTGAATTGTGTCCCGCATAAAGGCGCAGTAACGCGATGACAACATGGAGTTGATGGCAAGCGATGACTCGTCTAGTGCCTCACGCTTTGTGGAGGTGTCATCACCCTTAAGGATAATAGGGCCGCGATGCTTGAACTCGGAGAATTTGAGCTCCTGATCTTTCCACAGCGCCTCTTGGGCGCGGAACTTCGTCTCTACCTCCGCCTCTCGCACGGAGGAGCTCGCAATATCAATGACCTCGTCTACTACACGCAGTAGGTCCGCGTCCACGAGGTTCTGCAGCTTAAAGAGGTCCGCATCAGTGCGCCACGTGTGCCCCGTCACGCGCATGATTTCCTGCCAGTGCCGCTCCACCACTGCCGGGTTCTTCAGTTCCTGAATCACCGGCTGCAGCTCCATAAAGTCGTCGAGTATCTTCTTCAGCTCCACGTACGCGTCCCAGTCACGCAGAGATTTGGGCAGCCGCTTACACTGGCTCACAAACACACTCACCTCCTCCGCAATGGCATCGAAGTCTAGCTCACACCACAAAATATCATTGTATCCATCTACCTTCTGCAACACATTAATGTAGAGCGTGTAGAGCTTATCTAACAGCTCAAGCTCCTTCTTCGTCTTTACCAGCTCCGGGTACTTGTGCTGCGGCAGCCCAAACAGCTCCTCGCCAGCCATGAGCGTTATCCACTTGCGGTACTTGTCGTCGAACTGCCGCTGGTACCGCTTGAGTCGCTCCATTGCCTCCTGTGGTTTCAGCCCATCCACCATCGGTCCGTGCACGTCGTAGTCGTTGCGGAACGCAATCACCTCAGCACCAAACTTCTGTACCTCTTGCGTAAGACCCTTCTTGAAGGTGTGCTGCATGTGATTGATCTCATCAGAGCGGCGTTCCGCCAGTGCGTGGAGCTTGCGCCACTTGAAGCGTATGTCTTCCACGCGGTCAATTTCTTCCTTAAATATCTGCACATTGAACCTTTGCAGCAGTGCGTAGGCCTGCTGGACGGGGTAGAACTGGAATTCCACGACTGACTCACGCTCACGGATCTCCTGCAGGGTACCCATCAGCACACGCAGATCCTCCAGCTTCTCCTGGTCTGGGATCGGCATCGACAGCTGGTGCGCCTCCTCATCCATCTTGTGCGTGAGTGTGTCGAGGTCAAGTTGTGCCTTGGCGTGCAGCTTGTTTGCGAAGAGTTCCTTCCACTCCGCCACCTTGCGCAGGAGGTCCGTCTTGAGCGGTTTGTTCTGTAGCGCGAGGCTGCCAATATTAAACACCGGCGTGAGCCCCTCCACCTCCTCCTGCAGCGCGACGTACTCGCGCAGCTGATGCTCGTAGTCGTCCAGCGTTGGCCCCGTGCTGAGGAATGACTCATATGACACGTTCTTGTCAGACTTCCACAGGTGCTCGTACTTGCGGAAGTGACTGAGGTACTCCATCACCTGATTCTTGAGGCCGTGGATGCCACCGGTAAGAAGCAGCACAACCTTCACCACCTCCTTGTTCTTCGCAATCTCCTCAAAAAAGGAAAGCGCATCGTCGCCAAGGCCGCTCCATAGCGTCATGTACTTGCTGCAGGACAGCACCGCCGTCGCGCACTGGTTGATCGCCTTCTGCACTTCATCCAGCGAGGGGCTCAGGAAAACATACGGCTCCACGTTGATGAGCTGCACGTCTACGTCGAAGAACGGCTTCTCCACGAAGAGAAACGACACGCGGTTGCGTGTGCCAACGCGCTTCTTGAGCAGATTCAGCGACCGCGTCGTGCTGGTGAGGATAGCTTTGAACATGAGGCGGTTGAAGTGCCCTTTCAGCGTGGCGATGCGCTCCCGTGCGGCATCGTCGAGTGTGGCGGCGTCGTACGTGAGACCCTGGCTGCTGAGAATGCATGCCACCACGTCCTCCACAGCGTTCTCCACCTCGCGGTTTTTCACGTCCATCACCTCACACTGCTGCCGGATGTGTTTCTCCTGCACCTGCACGAACTGATCGAGTGAGAAGTGGTCCTCAAAGATGTTCACGAGGAGTGTGGAGGAAACGAGCTTCAGGTTAACCTGAATACGGTGATGGATGATGTCGTTCACCTTCGCCACGGTGGTGTCGAGCTCCTGAATGGCCTTGTGCACCCGCTCGAGGTATGCGTCGACGTTCATCGACGTCCATGTAAGTGTCGTCTCGCCGGGGAGAAAAACGGCATCAACGGCATCGAGGTTTGGCTGCAAAAGGGCGCGCGTGATGCCGACAATTTTGCTGCGTGAACCGCCCGGGCGGCCAACCACCCGCTCGTACTCCTTCACGAGGTGCGAAAGCTCGTTGTAAAACGTCTTAAGCCGCTGTTCCTGCATCAGCACCATCTTGGCAGACATGGGCACGTCAATGTCACCCAACAGCATAAGCGCCCGCGTCTCCTTAATCAACTGGATGATCTCCACATCAAAGTTCACGAGCAGCCGCCCCTCGTGCCGCACAAGCAGCGTTGCATTGAGGCCTGCTTTGCTTGACTCAATCGATCGCTTCCACGCGTCCACCCAAATCGCCTCGAACTCAATCAGCGCGACCGACACCTTGTTGTAGGTACGAATCACCTTTTTGCTGTCCTTTGTATTCGCCATGATGGTGCGGTTCGTTTTGAATCTATCCATGGGCGACTTGATGTGGCGCAGCAGCTGCCTCGCCCAGTTGATAGCACCCGCGACCGGCGTCATGTTGCGCGCGACCGGCGGGTCGGTCTTGTAGCGCTCATACGTCTTCTGGTCGTTCTCGAGCTCCATGCCGTAGCTGTGGAAGATAACGAGGTACTTGGACTCCAGGTCCGCCGCGAAGGCCTCGTTCTTGAGGATGCGTTGGTACTTGGCGAGCAGCTGCAGCGCATTGTCGGTGGAAGTGATGTTCTCGAAGGAGGAGTTGATCGCCACCTGCATCGATGTCTCCAACTCGGCGATGCGAGTTTCGAATATTTTGAACTCCACATCGAACTTGTTGTTGTCGTGGATGTCGAGAATGTCGGTGGTCTTGCCGCGCAGGTGGCCCAAGTACTCCTCAAAGCGTGGAATAAGGCCCTCCATCTGATCAATGTGGTACGCCTTGAGCTCCATGAACTGCTCCACCGTGCTGAACACGCTGATGAGTTTGTCCACGCGCTTCGTGAAGAGGTTGAAGTGACCCATGAACTTCAACTCATCAAAGTCAAACTGCTTGCCGTCCTTGTGAGCGAGCATCTCCTGCGCCTTCTTGTACTCTTCGGTGTAGGCCTTGTTGCAGTCCGCGCTCAGTTGCAGCTGCCGCAGAAGCTCCTTAAGGGTGTCGGGATTCTGCCCATTCTCCCAAATGCGGCCGCGCACCCCGGAGGGATTGATGGCTGCCTTGCACGACAGCACAATCGCGTTGGTCACCTTGAAGAAGAGCGCCGTCATGCGCTCCCGCCCAGAGTAGTAGCGTGCAATCGTGTACATCATGCGGATGTTCGCGATGAGCGCAGGAAGGATGCTAATAATTTGTGCAATGTCAGAGGAGTATAATACATCAAAGTACTTGTCGAGGGAGCGCAGGTACTTCACGTTTTCGCGCGCCTCCGCGAGCGCGTCGGTGAGAGCCGCGTCCAACTCGCACCAGCGGGGCAGCAGCGGGCTCTTCACCTCGCGCAGGTACTGCACCGCCCGCGGCGCCTCCACGCCCTCCAGCTGTTCCTCCACGAGGTGCAGCTTCGCGAGGCGGTTCTTCCAAAGATGAATCTCCGTCTTTGGCCCCGCCTTCTCATCGCTCAGCTCGTTGTCGTAGTTGGGCGACTGCTGCACCACGTCGTGCACGACGCGGATCCACCCCTCCACAGTCGTCGTAAGGCTGTGCACGACAACTGGGTCATTGATGCCGCCTCGCTTGTTCACTCCGCCGCTCTGCAGCAGCCGCCAAGTCTCGGCGTCAACCGGCTCCAGCTCGCAACTCTCGCCTTGCAGCTGCTGCAGCTCCGAAACGCGATCGGCGTATCGGAGGAGGTGCACGATAAACTGGTTGCGCTCCGCCAGCGTGTTCTTGCCCCACTTGCCGAGTCTATTGAAGATCGGGGTGTACACCTCCATCAGGAGATGCTCATAGCTCTGCAGTATGTTAGCGTCGAACGAGCCCATGACGAGATCCTGCACGGCCTGCGACGCATCGCGTGAGCTGATCGACCTGCCATCGTCGGCGCGGATGAGGTAGACGCAGCGCTTCGTCAGACACGGAATCTTATCCTTCAGCATGTTCATTACGCGTAGCACGTCATCTGAGCCCTCCGCCAAGTCGGGGTCCGGCTGGTACGTGAAGAGCAGCGTTGTGGCGCCGGTGCCCTCCAGCATCTCGTGCACCATCATGAAGTTGCGTGAGCCGTCAGTGAAGTTCTGGTCCAGCTGCTGCGTCAGGCGGTCGGACACCTCGGGGTCGCCGCAGGAGAAGAAATCCTTCACGCGGGCGAAGACATACGAGTGGCGCGTGTCGGTGCGCACACCGCGGTGGCTCTCCATTGCCTGTTGTTGTTGTTGTTGTTGCTGACGTCGAAAACAATGAATGACACACACCTATCGCACAATCCGCAACACGACCGATCCTACACGAATTTAATAAACAAAAAAAAGATGAGTGGGAGTTGTGTATTTCTAGTGGGTGCCCCTCCGCTCAAAAATCTTCTGGACATATGGAATCGCACGAGAAGACACAAAGCAAAGTAAACAAACAAACAAACACAGAGGCAATCAAGGAAGAAAACAGAGTGAGCAAAAAGAACCGAAATGAGAGAAGTTGACCACAAGTCGGGTGACAATTTGGCACATATGCCTGCAGACATGACACAACAATACGCAGGTACACACAGAGAGAGCGAAGCATATAAATATATATATATATATATATGCAAACAGGCTGAAGCCGCAGCTGCCATGAGAGTGGTAGTGGTGGCAAGAGAAGCGTTAGTTGCCCGCCCAAGGACAGTCTCTCGCTTGCGCCGGCAGCTGCGGCAAATGTACACAGATCCACTACACAGATACACATTGTCTTCATCTTTCTCTCTCTCTATAACCGTAGTTCTTCCAACAGGTAACGGTAGTCGCACAGAACGCCGTGAAGGACTTGGGGTATTCCGTGCACACGCCGCCGCGCCGCCTCCTCCTCGTGGGACTCCGCTGGCGGCGCCACCGCACCACCACCGTCTGCAGCAGCAGCAGCAGCAATCATCTCCCGCTCAAAGGGGGAACGGCAGAGGCGCACACACCTGTCCACCACCCAGGTGGGTATGGGGCGCTGTGCACCGCGGAACAGTTTCGCCAGGCACTCCCGCAGTACCCTCTCCTCCACGTAACCGGTGCGGATGTCGTCGTGGGCGAAGAAGGCATTGCGCAGGTGATGGTAGTCGCCATTACAACCATTCAGAAGCTCCTCCCGCAGGAGTCGGTTCATCTTCAAACGCCCCTTCCGCACACGATCCTCCAGGGTCGACTGCTCCACAGGCACGGCAGCACTCCTTGAGGACGACATCGGCACCGGCACCGGCGCAATGGTAGGCCGCGGAGACTCCGGCGAGACATTCCCCGCACTGTACACGTCGTTGACATCGTTGTTGTTATCGTCATTGTCATCGGGCGTTTCCTCGTGGAGGTGCACGTAGCTCTCCTGCACCACGAGATCCCCCACGAGTGAAACATAATGGCAGCAGCTGCGGTTGTCGCCCATTGCCAGCCCAGCCCGTACCAACTCGCCGATTTCGCTCTCCGTCAAGTCCGGCGCAACTGCATAGAGAGCACGACCAAGATCTTTGGGTGAAACAAACCCGTCATGTGCACGGTCGTAGTTGCTGCAGAGTGACAGCAGCTGCGAGCACTTACCATAGAGCTTCGCTGATATCTGACGTGAGATTGGCGTGGGCACCGAGCTACCGCCATCACGCCTCTCATTCACACTCGAAAGAGGCGGCGGACGTGGCGGCATCCCTGGCGGAGGCAGTCTTTGCTGGTGCGCAGAGGCGCCTGCACTCAGACCACTGTCAACACCATCAGCAGCAGCAGCATCCGACGCCTCTTCAGAGGCTGAGCATACCGCGCGCCCACCAGCAGCTGCTCCGCCAGGAACGAGTGAAACACGCACAACACTCGGCCCCGCCGCTTCTGTTCCTCGCAAATGCGCCGAGGCAGTTCTGCTCTCCGCATTGCTGGTGCGGTAGTGCTGCGCCAGTGTCGCTGCGTCGTGGGTGGGAGGCGACAGCGGCCGCAAACTACGGATGCTGCTGTGCCGAACCTCTCGTTTGTGCCCAGCGCTTCCAATACTGCCCCTTCTGTTTAGCGTGGAGTCATTGGAAGCGGTCTCGGCGTTGGCCACGGGGCTGTGCTTACGAATAATTGCGCTGACTCTACCCGTTGACGATGATGCTGGGGAAGCGGCTGCACGCCTAGGCGGGTGATACGTGAGCTTCTTCCCACGCTCGTGTGCACGTGATGAGGCGGTGGGCCGCAGAAGCCGCGCCACTGCATCACCACCACCGCCGCTGCTGCTGCTATTGCTTCCGCCACCGCCACCAGTCGGCGGGGCGTCAGCGCATGGAGAGGGGGGAGCAGTCATCGCTTCGTGATCATACACACTGGTACTCTGATGGGGCGTAGTTTGCAGCCTCCCAGCGCGCTGCCGCATCGTACTCGGCGGCGGTGGTAGTGACCTCTCGCCGCGATTACTGTGATGCACGTCGGTGGGAAAAGTACTCTGTCGCTCGCCTCGCTCACCGCTCGTTTCATCCATGAGACTGGAGTACTTCTCCTGAAACTCTTTCTCCAGGCGCCGGAGGAATTCTTCTTCCTCCACACGCTGTTTCTGTCGTGCAAGCATCTCCCTCCGGAGGGAGTCGTAGTTGTTCGACGCCCGACCTGTCGCACTACTCAGCTCACTCGATTCGGTTACAGGAATCGCTGCTGCCATCCTGGAGCTACTCATTGGCTGCATGGTACTACAATTAACTCTGCCAGATGTGTATGGTGGTGGGACACTCAATTCGATGTCCTGCTGAAGCCCGCGTGCTGTCGGCACATCGTAAGGATGAGGGCTTTGTGATCTAAAACCTATCGGTACATCCTGCTCAGCGATTTTCGATGAAACTGATTCTGTCCCATTCGCGGCCTCGCCGAAACGAGACGGTGGTGGCAACAGGGTTTTGCCTGTCGGCGTTGTGTGGAGTGACTTTGGTCTGCTCATCTCCGGTGAGGGGGAGACAGACACAGTCGATGCAGACCCAAATTGTGTGTTCACCGTTGCTGCTGCTGCTGCTGCTGCTCCCGCCGTGGTGCGCCCTTGTGGCGTCTCAGTGAGCCCCAACTCCGCCAAGTGGCTCACAGCCACGCTAGTGTGCACACTTGGCGGGGGGCTGAAGCTATTCACATTCAGGTGCGCTACCGACTGCTGGTGCTGCTGCTGCTGCTGCACAGGGCTGCGCAGTATGGGGTCCTGCAGCGCCGCACCTTGGCTGTTCCCGCCGCCATGCTGACGCCTCACCGCCGTCGCGTCGAGCCGACAGTCCACAGGGCTCGGCACTAGCAGCAGCGGCGGTGGCGGCGGCGACGGAGACGACGCACTTTCCGAGAACCAAAGCGACGTGCGTCGGATGCGCTCAATCAAACTCGAACGCATACGCGACACCAGCATGCAGAAATCCACAGAGCCGAGTATGCGGTCAGTGCCACATCCACTATCGTCAACACCCCCAGTGACGGGGTCTCTCACGTCGGATACGTCCAAATCTAGAGAATCTGCGAGTGCCTCCATCTCGATCAGAGATACATCGATGCCGCGACGCTGGAAGGCATTCCACACCTCTCGCAGCGTAACAATACCGTCTTGATCGTGATCGATCACGCGGAAGACTTCACGAAGGGAAAATAGTTCGCCCCGACCCGATATCCCCGCGGTACTGGAGGCGCCGTGACTCCCTCTCGATGTGTTGTGCTGCAGTGTTGCGTCCGCAGGATAAGCACCTCGAGCGAAAGATGCATCACCATGATCTCTCGCCCCTACGCGTGTCGTCGTGTTCGTTGATGCAATTGAGGTCTCCCCACCCCTGGTGCGCCTTGAGCCCCTACTGTTGGCGTCACTTTCCTGTCTATGTGGTAGGCGGAAGAATTCTTTCTCCCTTCGTTTCGAAGATTCTTCCCGCAGTATGGCCTCCTCCCTCAATGTTTCTGACCTGTCCGGAGTAGGGCTCCCCGAAAAGGCGCGCAGCTTCGCCTGCTGCACCATTCTCTCCACTGAAGAGTTGCGCTGCACCGGGGAGGCGGCGCGCTCCGCAGCACGCTCCACAAAGCTTGTGGCTCTCATCTCAGTACCAGACTCTCGCGGGGCTCTATGTTGCTGCCTACTCTCAGCCACAGTGGACTTCCCGCCTCGAGGCAGGGCAAAGCGATGGCTTGCACCATTACTCTGCGATGTGTCAACGGTGGATTGCTGGCGTAAGCTAAGCACAGTTCCTGTGGAGTAAAATGTATCACGCCCACCACCACCACCTCTGTTATGGGCGGCCGCACTACGGCACGAGCGGTCACTTGCCGAATTGTCTCTCCGCAAGGATACGGTGTTTCTGAGAGGCGGCTGCCAGGCCTCACGCCTTTGAGGCTGCGCCACTTCCTCCGCGGCCTCATCTTCATTCTCGTCGGAGAGGGGCGAAACGGAGCGAGGCCCTGCACTGCTGTCACTTCGCGCTAAGGGCGACGCCATGGTGCCGTCAGCGAGGCGCCTCATACTGTCCAACAGGTCAACGTAGCGCACCACCGCTCGGCCACTGACGCCGAACTGCTCGATGAGCGCCTCCGCCTGCTCTGCTGAGCCGCCGCTGCGCCGCAGTATTCTCGCAAAGGCGGAGGATGTCACGAGACCAGACCGGTCCTTGTCTGCGGCCCGCAGGTCCAGCTCTAACTGCCCAATGGAATCCGCCAGCTCCTGCTGAAGCATCGCGGCATACAAGAGATAAATACAAGGCAAAAAAAAAAACTACAATTGGGTGGCCAGCGAAGCAAAGAAGGGTAGCTGGTGCGGATGGGGATTTGCTGGTTCCTCCGAGCCTTCTGCTGGGCACAAGAAGGATAAAGAAAAGGGAGAAAACGGAACGAAAAGAAGTGACGAGATAAAAACACCCAACACACCACACCGTATGCAGCGGCAAGACCTCAGAGTCATGCACGACCGTCCACCGTGTGGCTCGCATTAAAGGACAGCACAGCGCTGGTGCCTCTGTGTGTGTACGTGTGCTTGTGCTTCTGTGCTTTTTTCCTGCTTCTTTGCGGGACGTGTGCATGCTGCAGCGCAAACAAAGAAGGCAGCAACAACAACAACAACAAAGAGAAAGAAGACCTCCAACAGAGTCATCATTTCAGTTGTATTCCTTTTTTTCTATAGAGCCAGCTTTGCAGCGGAAATGATGATGATGATGATGATGATGATAATAATAAAAATAATAAAACCAACAACAACAAAGCATCACCTCTACGCCCCTGTGCACCCAAGCCATCCTTTTCGGCACAGAGCTCCACATATTCCTTTAAAAGTTGCGGATGTAGTCGGAGCTCTCACAGGCCTTGTACTCGCTCACCAAGCTCTCTACAACCTCCCTAGAATGCTTAAACTCCTCGAGGTTCTCCTTCATTGGACCATATCGCTTGTACTGCTCCAGGAAGACGCCGCGGTTAAACAGCAAATCAAACTGCTTAAGCGTTCGCTGGAAGAGGGAGTTGATACTTGTGTGGTTCGCCATCACGAGCCCACTCACACGGTGTCGCGTGTCCACGTAGGGTGATTTCTTGGACAGGATCACCTGTATCGACGCGGGACCCCATGGAATAAAGTTGGGCGAGCGCTCACGAATGCGCTCCAGTGAGCGGTGCACCTGCGCCGGGTCGACATCGCCCTGAATGAGGTTCAACAAAGAGATGTAGCACCCGCTCTTCATGGACGTCGACACCATCATGTTCTTTGGCATCAAAAGCCGCCGCATCACATCATGCACAGATGTTTTCTGTACAGATGACTGAATGTTAGATGTATCTAGTGTCGTGGGCGTGTAGCCGGTACAAATAAAATGGCAACGCGGTGTGGGAATCAGTGACGCCAGCATACTCATGAGGTCATTGTTCATGTATCCAGGATAGCGCAGCGTCGCTGTTGAGGCCGCCATGACGGTGCTCACTAACCCATTCATTTGCTCCACAGTGGGGGAGGAGATGTGCAAGTTGTCTGTCGCGATGCGGTTCAGGGCAGTGTTGTCCAGCACAACGACGCAGTCGGCATGCAGCGTTAGACGCTTGATAGCTAGAAGGCTGTTGTATGGCTGCACAATGACATCGCTGTCACCCCCACGAGATTGATTTGGGAAAACGCTATAGGTCTGAATCAGTTTTTTGGGGAACCGATCGTTGAGGTGCTCGAGGAGATAACTCCCCGTACCGCTGCCTGTGCCACCGGCGATGCTGTGCGTCAGCACAAACCCCTCAAGGCTATCGCTATTTTCCGCCTCACGCTCAATCATGTCAAAGAGTGTCTCCTGCACGGTGTCGCCAAGCTCATACCCGTGCGCCCAGTTGTTCCCCGCACCGCCCCCCTCCGCGTGGACGTACACATTCTCCGGGTTGAAGAGGCGCTGCATGCTCCCACGCTGGATGGCGTTAATCACACGCGGCTCCAAGTCGATGAGCAGCGCGCGGGGGATGTAGTGATCGTCGTCCGCCTGGTAGAAGAATACGTCCTTTCGGTCATCACCGCCACTCGCAAACGGCTCCACGATGCCGTCGTGACGGATGCCGTGCTCGGCGCAGAGCAACCGCCAGAACTCGGAGCCGACCTGATTGCCGCATTGGCCTGCCTGCAGCGTGATGATCTCCCGCGGCATTTCTTATGCTTCACGCAACCACGCACTCTCTTTCCTTCTTCTCTCTCTCTGTGTCTCTTTCGCTCTCACGCAAAACAACAAAAATAATTTAATTCTTTCTCCACTGTTAGAGGACAGCAAGGGAAAACTTGTGCCTGACGTAGTGGGTTCAAACCGTCTGTTGGTTGTGGCTCTTCACAACCCTTCCGAGGCGCTGAAAAAAGACGACGAAGAAGGAAAGGTAAACTGACACGGCGTCATATTTGTTTAGAACCAGAAAAAAAAGGAGGGGCAAGTGCTCGAACGAGCTCTGCAATCCTCTTCACACACGACACGTGGCAACAAGGGACAGCTACAGGTAGACGAATGGCCTGCCATGCTTCTCCTTCGTGGCCTCTAGCCGCTCCGACCATTCTTCCTTCAAAACATGCAAATACTCAATGTCGCCATCCTCGTTGAATTTTGCCATAAGACGTCGGGCTTCCAGTCGATCCTTTCGAACCATCCCCTGCGCACCATCGAGCATCGCTATTTGTTCCATACACGACGCAATATCTGCAATAAGGCGAGTGGCGACGAGCTGCACCTCCGTGTGAACACTCGCTCGGTTTCCATCCTGGCGAAACAAACTGGTCTTGTGCCTCGCCGCAACTCGTCTTCGTGCCGTGCCATCTGAGGAGCCATTCTCACCCAAGGAACAATTCGCGCTGGTTTCATGTAAGGCAAACCGCTCTGCATCCACCACGGCAAAGTCTTCCTCAATTTGAGAAAGGGTCAGTTCGCGAATCATGCNGAGCACCGACCCCCATGCCTCCACGGCATTTGGCGACAGAGAAGAATGTGAGACTGTACTGACTCTCTGTCTACTCTGGCTCTGCCTCGCACACACCCGCTCCAACACGGTTAGACGCAAGTTATCTTTTACACCTTCCCAAGTGTCATCAGGAATGAGGATTCCTGCAGCAACTGCATTTTTTGAGCCTTCTTTATTCTCCAGACCAACCCCAACTGTGAGGCCGGCTACACAGCGTAAAAGTGGAAGCAACTTCCCCATTGCCCCTCGGCTTGCACTTGGTTTTTCTGGAACGGAAGCCGTGTACGCGCGAAGGAGGTCACGAATCCCCTGTCGTGCTTTATTAAGCTCAGCCCCCCCACCACCCTTAAAGCATAGCAAAGAGTGCTCAGCGTCCTGCTTAAATCCTATTGATACCATCCAGTTGACGAAGCAAAACAACTGAAACGCTGGAGCAATGTAGCGTGTCCACGACACTGACGTCATATTAATTCGTTTGTACTTTTCCTCCGAAGGGTAGTTGACAATATTAGCAAACACTGTATTCAGAACTTCAAGGGCCTTTCTGCGGCACTCCACCGAGGCACTACGATGCATGAGACGAAGAAGAGTTAAAATGTTTTCCATAACGTTGACATGTTTTTGTTTTTACCTGCTGGATAGAAATTTAAACCTTCGCCGCTAATCGAAAAAAAAGGAAAGAAAAGAGAAAACAAAGCCCCCCCCCCTTAAATAAAAAAAATGACTCCCACGCAAGTCGAAAGTGGAGGACAGCCAACGTCCCTGAAAGGCGCAACAGGAAATAGAATGAGCACACCCAAGCGGCACAGAGCTACACATCCTCCTTTTTAACATCCTCGCCCTTGATGCCGGTAGCCATCCCCCCCTCCAGCTTGCGGCGTACCTCTGCTATTCGTGTTGTGAGAAACTGATATGGATCCGCGCACTCCTTTCTGAGTTTGCCGCTGCTCAGTGCGTACCGCGAAAAGGTATGCTTTTCATCAGGCCCCAGAATGGAGGACGAGTCTACAGGATCAACTGACAGCTTCTGGGGCTCACTGCTCGACCGCCCACCGACGTGTACCCATCGAACAAATGAAAAAGACACAACTTCGGCATTTTGAACTTCACCAGACGTCGCCAAGGCATTTCGTTTCTTTGAGGTGAGTTCATCTTCGTCTGTCTTTCCACGTTTTCGACGAATCGGTCTTTTCATACCTAACGTCCCCTCACGCTCATAAAAGCCGTACATGTACACTTTATCCTCGCAAAGGCGCACAAGTGTGTCGACGAGACTGTCCTCAGCCTTCTCGTGCGCCGAGCTCGAAGACGAAAGACGATTCAATAACAAGGAACGCATGGATTGTAGCTGTTCAACCCTCGAAGGGGAAAACATGGCTATATCGTCTGGCGTGTCAACGAAATTCATAGAAGTAACAACTTGCAGCGGCACCAAGGCATCTTCATTCTCTCGTTTGGGAAACGGGGCGTCACCGTCCTCTCCGACCCGCCCCGCAGTGGAACAAAAGCCCGTGGCCTCAACCGATGGACACGTCTCGAGTTTTACAGCACCTTCCTCGTGGAATGCAACGGGAGAATCCCTCTTGACCCACTGAGGAGGAACAGCGTCCAACTTCAATGGCGTTACTTTCCCCACGAAGAGATACGAAATATCGGCACTGAAGTCTAGTTTTGTGCCTACGACGACATCATTCTCACGTATAGCACCACCCGAAATGTCCTCACTTGGATTCATTCGAAGCGGCCCATAAATACTAAAGTAAATATCTGACGAAGCTGCCACACCACAAAAAAAAGGCACATCAAGAAGAAGATAAGAAGGTTTAAAAGAGAAACTCGCAAAACGTCTCAATTAATTTAGGAGAGAAAAAAAAAAAAGATCCATTTGGGTACGACAACACATTCAAAATACATTGCGGACACCTATACACCAAACATTCAAGAAAGCGCCACTAGAGACTGGGGAAGCCAATCACGACAGAGAAGAATATTCAAGTCCTTTCGTATTTCGAGCTGCCGCACTGTCTGCGCCTTCTCACAATTGTCCTCAGCTCCCCGTCGCGTAACCTCAAGCAACTGATCAGTCTCATCATCGGCCTTTGACAAAAAAAGTGTAATAACTGCCTTATGCCCAAAATATGCAGCAAGGTCCATTGCAGTATTTCCATCAGAGTCTTTCAGGCGAATATCGGCGCCAGCCTTCGAAAATAGAAAATCAGCCATGCTAGTATCCCCCCGCATGGCAGCGAACATCAAAGGCGTGCGACCAGAGTAGGAATGAGGCAAGTCTACCAGAGCTTTAACCCCAGGTCTGAAGCTAGGCCCGGCTGTACGCGAAGGGGCTAACTTTCCCGTCTCTGCACGCACACCAACATAACCAACTGAATGAAAAAGCAGTATTTCCATCATTTTGGCATCAGCACACCATGCAGCGTAATGAAGCACATTGAAATAAAACATATCACGTGGATACAAAGAGGCACCACGGTTGAGCAGCAACTCGGCAATGTTATGTTTCTGAAGACATACTGCCCACATCAGCAAAGTCATGCGCCTATCTGTGTCCACATAATTGACATTTTGTGGAGTTAAAAGTTTTTCCAGTAACGCAATATCACCATTTACCACAGCTGAATGAAGTCCCTCAAGTACACTAGACATGACCCTTGACTAATTATACTACTATGTATTTACATAAATAAATAAAAAAAAACAAGGCGCAAGGAAGAAGACAACAAAGAAAAAAAAATCGCAAGGATCCAATTAAAGTTTTCAGCTTCCACAACGCGCAAGTCAGACCTCAAGACAAAAATAATACCAAATATAAGTTCTAGTGTGAAGATAAACAACCAAAAATATATATATATATATATATTACTTCGCATCCCTCTAAAGAGAAGAAAAAAAATAAAATAAAATAAAACAGTCTATGAATAATAGAGCAAGCGTTTATTTTTCTGCAAATAGCTGCTGCGAAACGGAATCTACGACCGGATGCTCAATTTTCCCGTGTTCTATGACTGATGCGTGGCTCACACCACGTCTTTCTGACGACGTTCCTGGGTTGTCCATTTTCATTCCGGAACCACGGTGGAAACAAGGCGTTGTAGCGTTGGGAAAAAGGCTTCGCTGCAAGCTTTCTCCACCCCCAAGTTTCTTTTCCTTTCCACTGCCCTGAAGAAGAGTAACCCGGCGAGGGGCGGTAGCAGGCGTGCACATCTTCGCCAAACCAGATGATGCGGGGGACACATGCGTAGGTAGGCCAACGCACGATGGGGGTGCAAAAATGCAATCCCATTCTTGCGAAATCGGCTGCAAATTCATGCCAGTAGTCGAGTGAAGTGGCCGGTGGGAGCATGTAAAGGGAGTACCACTTTTGGGATCATGCTGCAAAAAGGGTGAAACAGCACACCTTGGTATGCTTTCACCGGGATGGGCCTGAAAACCACTGCAAGGCATTGACAAAATTTGAGCAGCACTGGGCGACTTACCCACTTGAGCAGGCGTGGAAATACTATAATCGAGCCTCTGGGGTGTTTCACTATGTGAAGGCCCTTCAGGTTTGTCAGGCGTAGAGACCAGCTGATTGTGTGCGGACGGTGCAACATATATCTTGATACCTGCGTCCAGCGGGGAAACATCATTTCCTTTAATGAGTGAAGACGCCGACGGCGGCACAACGTTGCTTACCGGCTCGTAACAGTCCTCACTTCGCAAGATGATTTTCAAACTTTCCTCTACAGGAAGCTTCGTAGGAACGTAGGACGAGTTGCGCGCATTTCGTATTTTCTCTCCGGACAGCTGCAGTCGTTTCTCCTTTGACTCGTTTAAAAAAGTTGGACTCACCCACTGAAGTCGCTGCTTCTCCACCACACCATCAAGTGTTTTAATGCCTTCATCTTCACCATCAATATACACACAGTCAAACATGTGCAGTGCTCGGCGCCACTTGCGCAATGACACATCCCAGGAACGCTTGCTGCCTTTATTTAGATCAGGCGGTGAAAGCGGTAGGATTCCTCCACCTTTCAACAGAGGGTCGTGTTGTACCAATTTTATCATGTTGCGGTACCCCTCGGTAGCGTAACCGTACGAAACTTGCTTCTCTCGTTGTGAGATGCGTCGTTCTTGGTCGGGAGAATATCCACAAGGCCGCCGGCCGCATGACCTCGCATCATTTGTTTTTATGTTGGAATGGCCATACTCAACATGCCCACTCCTTTCAGCGTCTAGTGTGGGCCTGAAGGGCGTTTGCATGCTAAAAGCAGAACTTATGGCTTCGATGGTGAGCCGAAATTATGGGCGGCCTAATTCTATTCCCTTTTTAATTCACAGTGAGCGCAAAAACAACAGAATTCAAAACAGAGACGAAAAAA